CCCGCCAAGACGAAGGAATGCCCTGGGATCCAGAAATTGCGGAACGTATGGACCAATATCCAACAAAACGATATAATTTCAAAACAAAAAAATTCAAGAATATATAATTACTGGGTTGTTATTAGTGATTTTATATAAATGAAATGAATGTTTGTCGTTTTTAATAAAAGCACTGGTAATGTCCACGCTCTTTTTTATTGAATCTAATTCCTGAAAAGGTGAATATATTGTAGCTGCAAATTAATTCAAAACAAATTTTCGGGAAAATGATATCTTTTTGAATACTTCTTCAAAGTCAGTTCTGATTCTAATGAAATTCCGATCACCACATCTCCTCAGATTGCCTTATATAAAACAAAAACAATTTTTTTTAACCAATATTTTTGTTGATAATAATTGGATTTTTGAGATTGTAAGTGCGGGTTTTTTAATCGCTTACATTTGTTTCTAATTTTTCCTATGCTGTAAAACGAAGTAAATTTTTTCAATTTTATTCTTAAATTTTTTTGCTAATGGAAGAACTATTTATAACATAATACAGTTTATATGTCCCTATAAATTTCGGTGTTTCTTTCCAACTAGTAAAAATTTTTTTATTCAATAAATGAATATATCGGCCACGTGTATTAAGTAAAACAATCACAGTTAATTTTATACATAAGATTTAAGGACTAAAGAACTGTTGGATTTTGAATATTTGCTGAATCCTTCAAGATAAATGTGAATATCTTTAGTAAATGAAAGTTTAAAATACAATCAATGCTTTTATGCTGTATGTGAGGTCGTCTTTATGAAATCTACAAAAGAAATGACCCTTAACATTGCATGATAAACCACAACATCATACATCAGACACGGTGGGAATTTCTTTGAAACAACTTTAGATCAGTACTCGATAAGATTTAATCAAAAGTATAATATGATAATCACTCACTGTGGCTCTACTCAACATAAATGATGAGAATTTTAACACTATATCATCTTCAGTTCTCAAATCTTAAAATGAGTGGAATATCAGTAGTGATTTATTGACCAGTGACAAATCTTACTTGTGATTTCAATTGTAATTTATTTACAAGCTAACTTCGTAACATTCAATTTCATACAGACCTTCGTCATCTTACGATTGTAAAATAAAATAACAACTAGAAACTGAGATTGTACTGGGTGTATAGATTTTCATATATCAAAAAGGAAAGAATAGGTTTAGTTGTTTTTTTAAATATCCATTGAAAATTAAATTTTGAACTGGTCTTGGAATAATATTTAATATACTTTCATAAATAAAGCTAAATGATTACGGCATCATAAATATTTACTCGTAAGCCACAATGGCGATAAAAAAAGAAAAAAAAAATAGCGATATTATGCTGTACAGGATATTGATAATTAATATTAATTTCATTAAACAAATATAATTTAATAATAAGAAAGCAAGAACAGATAATCATTTGTGCTACGACGCAGTACTTAATGTTTGGAAATAAATCCTAGTAAAAATATTTTATTCAAAAGGAAGCACAATTATTACGGAAACATTTACAATTAATTTCGAATATCAGTACCCGTAGTAATTACATAGAGGTAATTAGTCAAGCGCTTGATGGTAATTAGTGGCTCATCTGTTTTAAATTTAAGAAAAGTTCAAAACAAATTTTCTTCTTTGTCAGCCAGCATTTTTAATCATCGCTTCTGAAAATTCACGAGGAAAAAATGCAGTATTTGACACATTAATAGATTTGAGCAGTAAATATACCGAGAAATTCTCATTCTTCATTGAAATTTGTCTTAAGATAATTTTATATTTCAAAATAATTCATATACTGTATATTACTTCGTAAAAAAATTTTTCAAACGGAAGCAATTTGTTTTAAATGAATCAGCTGTATAAATTTTTC